TTTAAAGCAGATCAGTACATTTAATTTCTTTTTTATATTCAATTTATAGCAAGGAATGAAAACAGACTGTGGGGCTAAGTTGTGGTTTTATTACTCGCTGGGAAAGAACTTTGTCGCATGATGAGAAAATTCATTATCAGTCCTGTTCAGTGATGTAATCCATGTTCTGATGGGCAGATTAATATATACTAACTATGTGAAATGTTGTGAGTCATTGCAATCATCAGTGTCTTCAGATTACCATTTCTTTTTATTGAATTAAATAATTAATTAGGCAATTCCGCAAATACTGTGTATTTTATGCTGGCCATCTTTGAAGCATTGGAACATATCATGGAACAAAAACAACAAAAATCTTACAAATCTCCAGCTTCATGTTGCAAATATTTACTTAAATTATGCAAAATACATAGAATGTTAAGAGATGATACAGAATATAGGGGGAAAGAGAATACATTAAGGGTGGCCAGGATTTCTGGGGTTAGAGCATCTGATTTTGAATTTGATGGGCAAGGAAAACTTCGCTCGGTAAGGGGTAACTTCAGCAAATACCTGATGTGGAGGAAAACTATTCCAGGCAGCAGAAGTGAGTGACAAGGCCTGAAATGGAAGTATGGGAGTTACACTTCAGGAGCTTTGAGGACGTCTGTGAGGCTGTGGTGGAGTGAGTGAGGGGAGAGCTGAAGAGACCAAGAAAGCCCCCATAGTGCAGGATCCAACAGGAAGACCACTGTGGGCTGGATGCTTTACCTCTGAATGAAATAGGATATTTTAAAGCTGTCAGTGGAGGAATAGCGTGACAGGACTAATGTTTTGTAAGCATCACTGTGTGTACTTCATTGAGAATAAATTACAGTCAGAGCTTGATGTGGGAAAGTCAGTTAGGAGCCTTTGTAATAATTCAGTCAGAGATGACTGTCTCTTGGATACGGGGGGTGCTGAGAAATGGACAGAATCTTGGTATATTTTGAAGGCAGATATCCTGGATTAAATAGGAGGTGTCAGAGAAAGAGAAAAGTCATGAATGATTCTAAGATTTAGAACGCTAGAATTAACATAATGAAGTTGCTGTGTACATTGACAGGTAAAGCTGCAGGTGAGGCAGAAAAAGGGAAGTTGGGTTTCGGT